CGGGGGTTCCCTGGGCATTCCTGGGGTTCTGCCCCCTCCGTTCCTGCTTCTGCTGCACTGGGAAGGTGCCACAGGAAGGAGAGAGTGGCCCCTGGGCCACGGCCCGCTCTGCCCTCCCCGGCCCCGCTGGGAGGCCGTTCCACACCAAGTCGCCCCTCCGTGCGTTACCTTGGCCGTTAGTTTTAGGTCGGGGACCTCAGAACTGCAGCGTCCCTAGAAATGCAGCTCCCACCATGGCAGGGGTTGTGTGTTCAGAACTGGTGGAAATCTAAAGCTGTCTGTGCCCCCGAGTGCCAGTGTCCCCGCAGACTGCACCAGCCTGGGGTCTTCTCGGGGCAGGGACACCTCGCTCTGCTCCGGGGCGTGTCCGGCACGGGTGGGGAGGTGGGACAAGAGCACTGGCACCACTAGGAACGTCCCCACGCTAGGCCCTGACTAAGACAATGCCCCAGAAGAAGTGAATATGTCTATTGACCGATTGTAAAGGTGAGAGAGGATCTCCAAAGCCCATTGTCACTGCTGCCATCTGAAAGACAGTAAAGACAGAGTTCAGTCTGTTGGAGCTGAGCATTACTGAGGCTGTCGCACAAACTCGAGCAGGGCGGCGCAGGGGCACCTGCGGAGAGGCCTCTCCTTCCTCGGCCCTCGCTGCCCCAGGACTGTCCGAGCCCGGGCTGGGCTCTGCTGCTGCCACTGCCTGGGGAAGCAGGGTGGGATCCCAGGGGGGACTCAAGGCAATAGAGACCTCTGCAACCGCCGGCGTCGGTTCACCCCCGGCCTTTAGAGGAGCCCCCGAGCTAGAGCAGCCCCTCAGAACCAGGCACGGCCCCGAGCGGCCTCGGAGCACATCCGCGGGGAGTCCTCGGGCAGAGCTGTGTCAGTCGGGGCTCCCTGACCCGGAGTGAAGGCGGCCAGACGTGTTCCAGAAGCCTCTGAAGGAGGGGAGGTTAAACCCCAGGTAAGGGTTCTCCTGGCACGGGCATTCCAGCGGGAGCGGGAGCGGCCAGCGGAACCTCTCCGGGACTGAGAGAGAGCACCTGAGTGCAGGGGAGGGAAAGGGGGCAGGGCTGGGACACGGGCAGGGGGCACAGGGACCCTCCCTCGAGCACAGGACGCGGTGACAGGACACTGTTCCCAGGATCCCCTCCGGCTTCACCACCTCAACGAGCGGGAAGTGAGGCCCGGGGCGGAGCCTCTGGCCCCTC